AACCGTTATGCTCATGTGTCCTCTGATAATAATAGCTTTCTAGGATTAAACATTATTTGGATAATTGGTCAAGAAAAAAATCTCTTAATAGCCCTACTGTGTGTTAGACCTACCTGAAAAATTTAAAAGCTATTTATTTCATTTGTAGGCCTATCGTTATTTTTTATTTGTGCTATCATTAGTAATTTCTTTATTTGTTCTTATTTTATTATTAACTGCTTAGCCTCCTTGTCATTTTTTTATTCAATTCAAAGTTTTAAATCAAGCTATCTCGTGCTACTGCAACAAAATTACCCAACTGTAAAATCAAAAATACACTGAGTGAGCAAAACTTTGTTTAATTACCATTATAACTAGCTATCTCACAATGTTTACATATGAATAAAAGCCTACATTAAAAATGTCATATAAATTGGTCTTTTCATTAGAAATTAGCTTACTGATTGCCACCATTGATGGACACATTTTTTTTATAATATTAAAAATATCTGTATGACAGTATATTCTGCAGTTCTTCCCTGCTGTACCGAATATCTACACTTTTCAAAGTATCATATCAAAGTTAGAAATTCAAATATTGTGACAAAATTAATTTTGTAGGGTACCACAAATTTGTTAAAATTTCCAAAGGGTGCCGCGACTAAAAAAAGGTTGGGAAACACTGCTCTAGTCTCCAAAGTGTGATTAGGAAATATAGCTTGATTTGACATGAAAAGATTCAACTGAATGGTTGAATATTACAGAAACATATAACAGAAATAATCAAAATTAAAAATATAAAATTAATTTGAATAATACAAACATAAAAACAATTAACATATAATTAATATAAACAAAATGACTCCTGCTTAGGACCATTAAGATTTCTTGCAGTTCATTAAACTGAAATAGTTTTTTAATTTAATATAAAATTCATTTACAATTGTTTTATTTATTAAAAAAATATAGAAATATAATTTTTATAAACAAAATGATCCCTATTTTGGATCATTATAATATATTTTCCAGACAATTAAGCATATCCCCACCACCACCACCTCCTGAATTCATTAATATGTTGTTCATAATGCAGTAATGATGGAGAATTTGTTTTAATGAGAATTGGAGGAGGGGGTTATGTCATAAAATACTGTTAAAATGCAAAAAAAAAAAATGTCTTTCTCTTTTTAGGCAAAATGTTATTTCTTATTTCTCCCTTTGATTTTGAGGTGAAGTATGAAGAACCTGGGCATGTTTTTGACAGGTTTTGTGAACGTCAATTAAATCTTGGTCTGATATTTTCAAATAAAAGGACCAGACTCTTTTATTTCCCTCTTCCCATGACTTACCTCATCCTCACTTACACTTCTTTCCCCCATGAGCCCAATTCAAGAGTACAGCTATGAAACTGATGTTTCAAAGCTATTAAAGTGGTACAGTCCCAGCTCTGCTCCAGATGGACCATTCGCACTGATGTTATTCCAGTTACAGGCTATTGAGTTGTAAACAACTAATATTAATAATAATAGTGTCCACAAGAATTTGTTTGTTTATTGCAGAGCCCTCTCTTATTGTATATGATGGCTAAAAATTAAATTTTGACTGAAAAATACAGCTGCAATAACTTACCTACAATACAAATTATCGAGTAATATGAATTTTGTGGTTATTTCTATCCAAGGGGGTTTCCGTCCCTTCCCCCACCACTACAAATAACATCACAGACTCACATCTAGATTCTAGTGTCCATTCGGCCTATTAATAGTTTCCCAAGATGAGGTCACTTCTGAAGCCTCCCAGCACAAGCAGGTCAAATCAAATCCCCACTGAGCTGAAACAAACTCCCCATTTCCCCAAGAGATGGTGGGGTCCAGAAACAAACGTCTATGGTGATGTGTGAGGGACGAACCATTGCAAGAGAGGAATAAGGGGCTTACTTGTGCTAGTAGGGAGCTGAGGTGCAGACGAAGTGCTGAAGAAGAAACAGACTTTGTCATGTTTGAGAACTTGAGGCGGAAGAGAGGTCAAGCATCTGTGGAGTTGAGGAAAAATCACAAATTTTATTACATTTTTATTAGGTATTGATATAGCAAAAACAAAGTCTGGGTAATTAACAAAATAAATAAATGAATAATTTTATATATATACACTACCGCTCAAAAGTTTGGGATCAGTAAGGCTTGTAATGTTTTTTAAGAAGTCTCTTATGCTCATCAAGGCTGCATTTATTTGATCAAAAATACAGAAAAGAACCAGTAATCTTGCAAAATGTTATTACAATATAAAATAATGGTTTCTATTTTAATATACTTTAAAATATAATTTATTTCTGTGATGCAAAGCTGAATTTCCATCAGCCATTACTCCAGTGTAAAGTGTCACATGATCCTTCAGAAATCATTCTAATATGCTGATTTATTATCAGTGCTGGAAACTGTTGTGCTGCTTAATATTTTTTTGGAACCTGTGATACTTTTCTTCAGGATTCTTTGATGAATAAAAAGTTAAAAAGAAGAGCATTTATTTAAAATAGAAATCTTTTCTAGCAATATACACTACCGTTCAAAAGTTTGGGGTCAGTACATTTTTATTCTTTCTTTTTTTGAAAGAAATTAAAACTTTTATTCAGCAAGGAAGTGTTAAATTGTTAAAAAAATGATAGCAAAGATTTATATTGTTAGAAAAGATTTATATTTTGAATAAATGCTGTTCTTTTTAACTTTTTATTCATCAAATAATCCTGAAAAAGTATCGCAGTTTCCAAAAAAAATATATTATATATATAACTGTTGCCAACATTGATAATTCTAATAATAAATCAGTATATTAGAATGATTTCTGAAGGATCATGTGACACTTTAGACTGGAGTAATGGCTGATGGAAATTCAGCTTTTGATCAAATAAATACAGCCTTGATGAGCATAAGAGACTTTATAAAAAACATTACAAGTCTTACTGATCCCAAACTTTTGAACGGTAGTGTGTGTGTGTATATATATATATATATATATATCAGTATTGATTAATAAACATTTCCCAACATTAAAACATAACATTAAAAATGCCACTCAACAAATGAATTTTAAAACCGTCTGTCTACAAATATTTTGTAAACGTTCAATTTATAACCCAGCCCTAGTAAAAGCACAGTATAACTGAGAATTCATGTATCTGTCTGCGCATTTTGTGATTCATAAGCAGAAATACCGAGGATCTAATTCATGAGTGGAATCAAGTCCAGGCATTTGGGGCAGAAGTTTCTCCAGACATTCATCGGGAAAGAGCTGAGAGAGCTGAAGAGAGAGACAACAGAGACAAGGCATGGTTACATAACATTACAAATTGTCAGCACTCATCAATGAACACATTCACTGGTTCTCAACATCACAGCACTGATTATTCTACACAGTCAAATCATTTTTCCACTACACAACTTTCCAGTGAGTCCAGTTGCAGTTGAGAAATTGAGATGAATGGAAATGTTAACATTTATTACAGACCACTTTAGTAGTATATTTTTAAGACTTTTCATCTCAACACACTAGTTCAACATTTCTCACATTCATGAAACGCAACACACATGACTGTCACTCACCTGGGAGATGAACTCCACCACTTCCTGGGGGGTTTTGCTGACAGTCGACAAAGTGCAGTCGGACCACAAGGCCTTTGATTCAAGAGAAAAGTATGACAAACATATAACAACAAGTTATTTTTACATTTTGGCTACAATTGTCCAGTAAAATTATGACATAACTACCAAAAAGACCTGCTTTTTATGGAGATAAACTGACACGAAACTCACCTCCAGGATGTATTCTGTTGATTTGTCTGATTTGGGTGCAACTCCCCTTACTTCAATTCTTTCAACATACTCTGAAAAAAAGACAAAAAAGGCAAGCGCCATGGGTGTAAAGATTTAAATCTGTTGGTTTACAGAAGACTTTTTCATTGTTACAAAAAAAATCTATTTCACTGTTTTCTTTTACTTACTATTCAACCCAGAGAATCCTGAAAAAGTTTATCACGGTTTCCACAAACATATAAAGCAGCACAATTGTTCTCAGCATTGATAATCAGAGGCGTCATGCCCATTCAAAGTGAGATTTTTGAGGCAAGTGGATTTTGAATGCAGCTTCCAAAAGACAAAAAATAGCCGATTAATATTTTCTATATTTAATACAATCACACCGGCGTGATTAGAATGTTCAGTGCGTTATATCATCAGCTGCTAAATTCTAATCTGCGCTCACTGGCCGGCACTGAGCCAGATACAGACCTGTTTTTACAGCACTGCGCATTATAACCAATCACACACGATGCTGTTGAGCTTATGAATACAATGACCAATCAGAGGTGTTCAGATTCGAATTCTCTCGTCAGAAACAACAAAGTGCAAATATGTTTACGAATCTGTAAGATATTAATTCCATAGTGTAAACAGCATCAGTGACTTTAATGGGATTTTTTGAGAGTGCTTGAACTAGATTGTCAGTGAAAAGGTTCTTTGATAATGTAAATGTTCTTTGCTCTCTTTCTGTACAATGAAAGTGTTATGATTAGTAGCCTAACTTTCAATGTTAAATTCACATTAAATATAAACTCAGTCGTATTAAAAATATGTTACGGCATGACACCCATATCTGTTAATTAAGTAAACAGACAGGTTTGTATGCATAGATGATAGATTACATTATTAGGTTACTTTGACCATCGCCCACTATAGATCAACATAATCTATAAAGGTGAGAATCAAGATATTTCATGATATAGTTAATGCGTTTGGGGATGTTTCAAATAAAAAGGAAAAAATAAATAAAACATAAGTGCTGTTGTGGCTGCTGTGTGTCACATGACGAACACCTGCTGTTTTCAGCATTGATAATAACAAATGTTTCCTGAGCAGCAAATCAGAAAATTAGAATGATTTCTGAAGGATCACGTGACACTGAACACTGGAGTAATGATGCTGAAAATTCAGCTTTTCATCACAGAAATACACTTAATATAAAATATATTTAAATAGAAAACCGTTCTTTTAAATTGTAATAATTTTTCATAATATTGCTTTAAGAAATATTTATTCAGTACAAAATCAGCACAACAATGTTCAATGTTTAGTATTGGCTTCTCTGAAATTGGACCTGAAATACTCTGAAAATTGTCTGTAGGCACAAAGTTTATTACTGTAGCCTGCATATGAAATTATACTCGCTATAAAGATTTGCCCTAAAATGCTGGATTGTTTCACTTTTGCATTCCACACAACAAAACGTGGTTGCATTTACCCCAAATAACTGAATGAGTTACATTCACTCCCCAAGCCTTGAATAAGAATTACATACATACTCTCCAAAATGTATTATGGTAGTATTATCACAGACTGTTTGGATTCTATAAGAGGAGAGGAGTATGTGAGAAAATCCTCCAGAACTTAATAACCTCTCAGACGGTTTCTGGCAGGTTAGAACTCATTTGAGCATATTTAGCTAAAAGGAAGAACCTGAGAAGTGAGAATTTGAGCCTCCAGGCAATTCATTTCACAACATATTTTGATGGCAAACCAGTGACTTTACCGCTTTGAGATGAAGTTCAAAACAGAGTAAGGTCAATCGTGAGCAAGAGCACTGAAAATAAGGAGGGACAAAAGACTATATTAGTACTAGATCTTTTTTGTTTGTTTGTCTGTTATATACTCCTGTTCAAAAGTTTGGGGTCAGTAAGATTTTCACAGATTATTTTTAAGAAATTAATACTTTTATTCTGCAAGGACACATTTAATCGATCAAAAGTGACTAAAGACATCTATAATCACATTTTAAATAAATACTGTTCTTTTGAACTTTCTACTCATCAAAAAATCTTGAAAAGTAGCACAGCTGTTTTCAGCATTGATAATAACAAATGTTTCCTGAGCAGCAAATCAGAAAATTAGAATGATTTCTGAAGGATCACGTGACACTGAACACTGGAGTAATGATGCTGAAAATTCAGCTTTTCATCACAGAAATACACTTAATATAAAATATATTTAAATAGAAAACCGTTCTTTTAAATTGTAATAATTTTTCATAATATTGCTGTTTTTACAGTATTTTTAAACCAAGTAAAAGTTGCCTTGGTGAGCATAAGAGACTTCTTTTTAAAACATTTTTTAAAAAATCTTACCAACCCCAAACTTTTGAACGGTAAGTGTATGTGACATTCATATACAGCAAGTCTGTCTCAAGAGTCCAGCTGAAGTGTGTTCATTTGCACACACGCGAACCCACACGAGCGAGCAGAAACACATCCGGAGTCTGCTCACCATAAACATGGCCGAACTTGTTACATATACCCTGCAGAGTCAGCACTTCCTGTAGTGTGTGTGTGTGTGTGTGTGTGTGTGTGTGTGTGTGTGTGTGTGTGTGTGTGTGTGGAGAGAGAAAGAAGGCTGAATGGAATTCTGTGAGTTCAATGCATGATATCAAAAGATCTGAGAGCAGTAGATCGCCTCCAATGCTTTCATTCATTGAGATGAATATTTTTGCCATTTTTTTTAAATAGATGCTAAGATTGAGCAATTATTAACACCAAAAAAAAAAAAGGTCTAGAAACAATAGTAGGTCATACAGTTTTGGAGTGACTTGAAGGTTAGTCAACGATCACAGAATTTCCTTGTTTTCTTTATTAGTGGTGCACCGACACACTGACTTTAAAGCTCTTTCCTCATCTCCAGCAGGCAAGTGTGAGCTCATCTGGAATGTTCCGGAGAGGAGGAGGCCTTTCCCTTCAGCAAAGAGAGATGCCTGCCTGCTCCTCCCAAACCACCCACCAAACCCCTCATTACACTGTGTGTTTTTATATGTGTGTGTGTGCGCGCCTCGGAGTGAAAGTGAACCACAAACCCAGAGAGAGGTCACCGCCAGAGCAGGAAGAGATGCAAAGCATCTTTCGTCTGGAAGAAGAAAAAAATCATTTTAAGAACATTTGCTCATCTGCAATATGTCACTAAAACCGGGAACACACTATACAACTAACATGCCGATTATGAATGTAATTTGCTCTTGAGGACTGATCGTGCCCAGTCGGCCAGGGTCTGTTCCAGTTGGGCTCAGTCGCTGTTTGCAGTCGGCAGAAAAGTTTGTAGTGTGTGGTGTCTAAAGATTATAATCGTAGAAATCAAGAACCAGTCGTTGCCAGTCTTTCACAAAGATTTTTTTAAACATGTGTTTAATATCTGCGACTGACGCCAGCGATTGTATGCAGCTATGCAGTGGAGATGCGCTCACTGTCAAACATCATTCAGCGTTAATTTTGTCATTTTGCCAAATATTTTTTCTTGTTTACACATTTGTTGGGATGTTATCATTGCAAGTTAAATAGTTTTA